TTTAAAGATACCATTCAAGATAGTGTTAGCAAACTTCATATGCAGATACATACTGATGAGAGCTACTCAACTGCATCAACATTTTTTTGACTTTGACCTTTCCTTTGACCTTGACCTCACTTTTCTTAAATTAGTGTCAAACTTCATATGCTGATACATACTGATGAGAGCTATTCAACTGCACCAATATTTTTTCACCTTGACCTTTCCTTTGACCTTGACCTCACTTTTCTCAATTTGTGTTAAAATGTTGCATTACTAATATACCCTTGGCGGGGCATTCATGTCCTATGGACATATTTCTAGTTTCAAATTAACAAAGGATATGCTTGAGTGACTGTATTTTGACTAGCAGTAAAAATAAAATGATTTTTAAGCATTTGAATTATTTTGATTCATGGTCTCTGCAAGTTTAATGATAGCAAATATGTATATTGAACATGGCATCCACATATTGCTATACTGGATGGGGCATAACTTTTACTGAATCTTAATCACAACCTTGAAATTTTATGTAGTACATGTACTCTTGGTTTCAACTGGTCAAATGTATTCTTAAATCAGAAAGAATTTATACAAATATAGGCATAGGTCAGAACTTCATCAATTAGTTGGAAAGCGAATGCACTCAGTGACTATATGGTTTAAAAGAAGCTTGGTGTAAATAGCAGGAAAAACTACTTGATGTCCACTGTGAACTTTTTGTCCTCAACAAAACAATATGGAATATACTATACTTGGTCTAAAGAATAATCTATGTCTGCATTCACTTTTAGGTTAAACTGTTTTGGGCATTGAGAGTTTGTTGTTTAACGTCCCTCTGGAGAATTTTTCACTCATATGGAGATGCCAACACTTGCCGATGGAGAGCTGCAAATGACCTATGCTCGGCACTCAGGGCCAATGGGCAGTGAGGGATCTTTTTCATGCCAGCATCTACTGCGACACTGGACCTCTGTTTGTACGAAGGACCGGTCTCTACGTCCCACAGTGGGATTCAAACTGGTGACAAAAGGATCAACTAACTCCACGACTCTAGAGCATTGCCTCTTTCCACTGCACCACGTGGGCGACAGCATTGAGAGTTAAATGTGGATATCAGAACAAGCTACTCTGGGCTTATACTCTCTATATATTGATTGATTGTATGTTGTTTAACATTCCTCTCAAGATTTTTTCACTCAAATGGAGACACCACCACATGCCGGTGGAGATCTGCAAATTTTGTCCTATATCGGCACTTACGGCCATTGAGCATCGAGGGATTTTTTTCGTGCCAGCACCTACTGCGACACAGGACCTCGATTTATACGGTCTCATCTGAAGGACTGGTCTCCCCATCCCACAGTGGGATTTGAACCTGCGACGTAAGGATCAACTCCTTACTTCGCTACTCTAGAGCAGATGCTCCAACCACTGCGCCACTGGGGCAACTACTCTCTATTTAAGTCACTTGTGCAATGACTTTAGTTTAATTCAAAGTTTTGTACTGATCATGTTGAGTCACATTAGCACAAATATCTTTCTGCTGACCTTGACTTATGACCATCCGCAACTATTCTGGTTGGAAACAATATGTTAATTAATGCATAATAAGTGAAATTACTATGAAAGAAAAATGGTCTACTTAAACCACAAGTTATATTTATAAAAAATATACACTGGTCTCCTTAAGTCATATGAGAGAAACATAAAATATTAAGGAGACCATTTTTTTCATATATTTTTAGGAGGCATTTATTATGAAAAAACAAAGCAAGAGTCGACTAAATGGTGTTCTATAGATCTTTGATCTGGTATTTCTTTTTAGAAAAAAGAAAATTTAAAAAATTTGTATATTGTCTCCTTAAGCCATATATAATGGTCTGGTCTCCCTAGTCCTTAAATCAGAGTTATATATATATATATATATATATATATATATATATATATATATATATTAGAGTGAAGTAATGTCAAAATAAACAGTAAACAAAACATTCTTGATTGGGCACAGTATTTGTTCTTTTATCGAGAGGTTAAAACAGGTTAAAGGATCACCTTATGGATCTTGGTGTGAAAGTAGAACAAAATCATTTATCGTCTTTTTGAAGAAGCTTAAGAAATACATTCTATTACAATGACATTATTCTTCGTCATTAATATCTTTTCTCCCGGAATGTGACCAGCTTTTGTATTTTACAATATATAGTAATGCCTCGTGCCAAGAGGAAAATGGATAAAAATGAAACAATATCCACTGTATTTCGTATCTGATAGAAATTATTTCGTGACAGTATTCAAATAAATGCCCTTGTACATATGAAAGAAATAATTATGGGCAAAGAGATAGTAATATTGGAAAGATATTTGCAATCTTTCTATGAGAAATCTATCACATTCTTGACTGGTTTTCCTTTGTTCATTTTATATCACATTTCATTGGGCAGGTGAAAGCTGAGAATTACAGTATGAAGTGCAACTTTAGATGTTATTTAAAAGTCATATTAAAAATTTCTTTGAAAGGAAATATTTATTAGACAAATAAGAGTTATTTCATATTATGGCTTTCACCCCCCCCTTTTTTTTTTACATCCACAACCCGAGAAAATATTTGACCTAAAATTAAGGAGATTTATATGAACTCAAATTAAATTATTTTTCTCGATTCAGTGATCAAGCTTAAGGAAGTCCGTCAGTTGGTCACTGTAATGTTTGTGAAGCATTATAAAAATTATTTTTTTGGCTAAAAGAAGACGTCCACAATAGAGAAAAGTATTGTCCACTTAAATAAAGAGTTAATCTAACCATGATTCAAATAAAATGGGAGAATAACTCTATCGACCACCAACAACATGGATGGTCAGAGAGAACCCCGCGGCTTTGCACTAGGTTTGACAAAGTTTTTTACACCTGGATAGGTGTCTACTCTCATGGTACTCTTCACAAACGAAACAGAAACACATCTTACCGTGGCTTTAAATAACGCAGTGATTTTATGAGATTAGCATCTCTCATTCTTTGCAGTAATTCTCTGGAATCTCCTACGGAGTACAGGGCCGAAGAGTTCACCTTATCCAAATTCATTTTCTACCTGGTTACACTAAACTTCTTTAAATGTATCTGAGGTCGCAATTAAGTGTCGTCAGTTATTCTATTTAATGTACAGAATTAGAGACTGTTGACAACCATTGGTTCCTTTCAAAAGAAACAGATACGAGCGCTGGGCGCATTGTTACTTCCGGTGACCATAGCGCCTGTTGACTTCTTTAAGCATCGATTTGGGTCGTTAGTTTTTACCATGAATAATTATACGATAGGTTAAATATACAGGGATTCAATAAGATTTTTTGCCTTTGAACTGATTATTGATGAGGAAGTAAAAAACACACAAATCTTTGCAAATACTCAATTTAAAATACATTTTGATACAAGTACATCTTTAATACCATTTTACATCCACCAAACAAATTTATAAACAAGTTATAGTTTATCATAATCATACATCAGTACGTAAATGCAGTTATAAAGAAAAAAAAATACAGCCACACCCAATTTCATACGATTAAAAGTACCCGCTTTGCAACACACTTAACACAATCTGCCAACTTTGATCAAAGATATCGTCATCAACAACACTTTCAGTTGATAGTTACCAAGAGGATAGTCAGTATCTTTTTCAAACTCGATGAATTTCATCAATACCGTCTGTTGCATGGCATGTAAAAAGTCAGTTAAACACGAATTTGAATTTACATTGTAGATTATATTTCAGTCTTGTCAAGCACTCCAGACAAGAAGTGCCAAAATTTCAAATCTGTCGATCATCATCACATCCTAAAAGTAAAAAAGACTAGTAACATATTTCAAAGAAGGTTTTACAGAGAAAGACATAATGTCAATATTTCTATCAATAAAAAATAACACTCGGACTTAAGTCATTCAATCACGGGGCGGAGCTGCTGTGTTAATGGTGCCCTTCGTGTGTACTTTTCTGGAGACCCAGATTGAGCTTATACATAGGAATATTATGCAATTAATTATACCCCTCTGCTGTTATATAAATTTTATTCACGGTAGAAACATTTTCCCAAAAATTGTAAAATGAATCTCTTGTGTGTTTATCTAGTTTTCCAATGAACGGAGCTATGATTACTAAAGCAAACAAGATGTTGACATCTTTGACACTTAAAAGAAACATTTTACTAGAATTTTTATACATTTACCCCGTGAATAAATTCTAATTATTTTTAATGTGACGCTTGTATCTATTTGATGGGAACATCTCACAGCACAAAAGAGTATATAAAAGCTTACCCATGAGAAAAACGACGATTTTATTTTGGAAAACTTTTGAAATTTTAGTGATGATTACTACATTATAATTTGATAAGAATTTCTCATAATGTAGGTCAAATTTAAATGAATAACCTTACTTAACACTACCCTATAAAATTCTTAAGGAAAATCTGCATTGTCATCTTAATAGTATACCACCAAGGACATATCTTAACATTTTGATCAAGTTGTTATGAAAAAATTAAAATGGCAAAGAATATTTTGCAACATTTAATACCACAATGAATTACTTTTACCGCGCCTATTACTCAAGATGAAATTCAAGATAACGAGACAAAAAAGTGAGGACAGCTTAAGAGTAGTATATCTTACCGCGGAGTAATTCAAGTTAACACCACTTATCGGGGAAGAAATATAATATCTCGTGATATACTGTTGAAATAGATTATGAGATCAGAATATCGTTAATATGAATAATGGCGTATAAGTGCAACTGTAAACTTCATGTTTCCTTTTACATGATTAAATGCAATGTCATTTCCCAAAGTATCAGTTTCTTCAGGACTTTAATATAAAGCTTATAATTTTCTAATCATCATAATTAAAAAAAATATAATTAAACGTTTTCATTTTTATTGGCTTAATAAATTGTGACATTAAACATTATATAAGGTGAAGCAAAAAATAATTTAACAATCTATTTTATAATTGTCATACAAATTAAATTTAAATGTTGTATCTTTCTCAGACAACAAAAATACAAGCACAAATACTAAGAAAAATTCCAACAAAACAAACATTTTTTTTACATCACTATGTCAATACTTGATGCATCAAAGAGTAATGTTATTTATACATTAAATGCAGTCACTATAGCATGGATACACTTGATGTCTTTCTTTTATTCTGCGATGCAGCTTGATTTCTCGGAGTTTGACGAGGAGAATGGTTTTGTTGTACAGCAAGGACACATGGCATAATGAAAAGGCTTGGAAGCATTGGAGGAGGAATTTAAACTACTATAATTGGAATAGGCAGCACCAAGTGTTAACCCAGGTAAAACGGGAGGGTAAGGCATCGCAAGAAGTCCTCTTCCTCCCATCCCTCCCCAAGCGTACCTCATCGAATTTAATGTATGTGCATTGGCAAGGGTAGAGATTGGAGAAAATGCAGATCTAAAGGATGAATTTGTCATGGTAGAAACTAAGCCTGGATGAGGCAAAAATGAACTAGATGATGAGGAAGAAGATGTCGCTGATTGGTCAGTTCCATGATTACTTAGGACCTGTTCTATTGTTTGTACTACGTCACCGTTGCATCCTTGAAGAATCAACTGAAGAACACTTCGTTTCATGTGTGGAAAAATTCTTTGTAGCATGTCTATAGGGTTCTTCTTGGAACCGCCAGGAAGAAGTCCCTCTTCGTAGGGAGACTTAGAAAATGATTCTGATTTGTCCTCGTTGGGTGAGGGGGAATCTGCAATTTTTGGTGATGGAACAGGGGACCCTGTTGATTCTACTGGAGAGTGTGTCCGTTCGTTAACATCTTCAGAAGAACAGCGGGAAACAGGAGATTCGGTTCTCAGGGAATCTAATTTTTGCCTTTTAGCAGCTAAAATAAAAAAGGAAAAAAATTGTTTGTTTTCAGATTTACTATTTGATACAATTGTAGATTTACTGTAATGCATGGCTTAAAATGGTAAAATGAATCTATATATTTTTTTTAATTATACAAATTAAAATACAATTACATATATAATAAAATATTCTATTAAAGAAAAGATAAAATTGACTGTAATATTTTAATAAGGTAATTAAATTCCATCTAAAAAAATTAATCTGTCCAAGGAAGAGACAAACGTATAAATATAAAACAACTGGTAGTGAAAATAAATTTAAAAAAATTAATAAATAAATATATAATATGTCTATGTTTAGCATTTTGCTGTGCTTCTTAAACATAATTCTACTGGTTAAGGTATTTTCAAAAATTATATTTAATGTTTGCTTTTTTTTATTTTTGTAAAAGTGAAAACAAAATGTGGATTTTTGATTTTTTTAAAAAATATTTGACAATTTCTGATTTTGATACATTCAAATACTTAAGAATAAATTAAATGACCATCAATTGTACTCTTCTTTGAAGTTACAATAAAATAGATTAAAAAAAACTTACCTGGCTCGTCTTCGTCTTTACTTTTTTCGATAATTTTCTTGGCTTCTGGAAACATATTTATAGTCTCAGGATTAAGATGGAGCAGTCCGCTGGGTCCATATAGCATCCCCAATTCCCTAGCCTCATTTTCCTCCTGGGCCTGTTGTCTTCTTAAAGCAACTTGAGCTGCCATCACCCTCTGTCTTTCAGCTATAAGAGTGCATTTTGCACATACACAGTCTCTCCAACGACAGTACCTCTTGTGTCCTTTCAGTGCAGACACCACTCCGTGGTTCCGACATCTGGCACATTTTGGTGTTCGTGGGTACCTGTCGGACGCTCTCATAAAGCTATGGGAATCACCCTTCTCCTCATCAGAACTCATTTTGCAGATTATTTTAGCGAAAGTAGTATAAGGCTCCCTTTTCGTTCTGTATTTTCTAATCAATGTCTACAAAGCACCTTATTTAGATTTGTGTAAAATGAAGATCTTCACCCTTTGAAATGTTTCTGACTTGAAATACTGTAAATGATCCCTCGCTGACACGAGTCTTCTGAAAGCCCTCGTCTGCTCCCGGTCTTATTTGAAAATGTTATGATTATGTACCGGAAAGTACCCGCCCATTAGAGGCGATTAGCGTGTGTTATCTGTTTAGAAAAATCACTATTAACTGTACCTGGCTTTATGATTGGTTAAATGCTCTCCGTAGTCCGACTCTTGAATTTTCTTCATTAAATGATTGAAGGGACTGTCAATGATATTTTTTTGTTCACACACGACGTTGAAATCCAATTCAGAATTTAAAACTTTCTTAAACTAGGCATAGATTGCCACTGTGGGCTTTTGCAAATGTTAAAGGGTAAAGAAAAGGGTGTATTATCAGATATGAATTTAAAGTTTTGTACAAAAATGACTTTTTGTTAATCAATGTAGGGGTAAGATGGGTAAGATACAAAGTATTCTAACAATTTTATTATACTAAGCATATTTTATCATTTTGTATATATCTGCAAAAGTTTAAACTTAACTATAAAAGTCTAAACTTTATATATATATATATATATATATATATATATATATATATATATATATATATATATATATATATATATATATATATATATATATATATATATATATATATATATATATGGTTTTTCCTGCTGACAAGATTCATTCTAGGTCAATTGAAAAATCCAGAAAAAGAGATAGGTGACTTTCACTCTGAATGCGAACTCTGGCAACTGAAAAAAAATTATTAACTTCGACAAATATATTTACTTCATTCCACTATGCAAATGAGATTAAGTGCTATTTAAAATATTAACTCCTAGAGTTTTTTTTTCTTTTCATAAACTAATTCAAACTGATAAAATATGAAAATATCTTACCAAGAATGTCTTTAAATTTCTTTTTATAAGAATTGAAGCACAATTTTTATCTCAACCCCAAATCTGGAAGAAAATAAAAATAAATACAAGTATTTAGCCAAGCCATTAATAAATCATTAAGAAAATCATTAATATTAATTTCTTTGAAGAACTCTTATCCCAAAATTATTTAACCTCAACTTAATGCTTCAACTAATCGCCTATTTCCCTAAATATTATATTTACATATCTTCCAACATAAAACTGAATAAAATTTTCTTTTCTGTCCCTTTAAATTATCAATAACGGAAATCTGGCCAAAGATGTTAGCAACAGATAATCTTTTTGTGATTTTTGTTTTGAGGTATCAGTCACAGTATCTCATAGATGTAATACAGAGAAATAAAAAATTTCAAAAAAGAATTTTTAGACTGGTTTGTACATGTAATTTAACATAATCCTGGCAGGGAAGTATACTATTTACTTCAAACAAAATTCTATTTAACCTTGAAATCATAAAAAGAAATACATAACAATAAATTTACTTTCCGTAAAAAGATATGAGAGGTTGTGTTTCGTAATATATCACGATAGTTAGAAGAAATATATGTATCACAATACGTCATTATGCACTAAATTTGAGAGAAAATATTGTATGGCTCCTACTGAAAAAGAAAAAAAATCGTCATGCAAATTTACAGAATTTTACAGTTCAGCTGAAATCGCAAAACACAACATCGAAAAATCCCCTAATCTTTGCCTTTGGAAATTGCATTGAATCATAGGGATTTCTCTTCTAAAAATTTCAATGACAATGAGGGTGGAAATCCAAAGATTATCAAAATTAAGCTATACGGCATAATTGCGTTATACGGTATTTTCTGCTTTAATATTTGTTAACATTGTACATACATGTAATACTAATAAGATAATTTCCAATAAAGGTAATATATGTACTATAACATTGCAGCAACTTGCATTTATCGACGACCTGATTTAAATTCACACCATTAAATATTCTGCTACAGACAAAATGCGTTGCAGTTATGATATGTCTAAATCTATATTCTTAAAATGAGTATCCATCCATCATATGACATTTTAACATTTGCACTGACATTTAAATATATATTAATACATCCTAAGATTTGTTGTTTTTATGATTAATTAATTCATTGACACTATCTTAATCGCAAATATATTTTTATTTAAGCAGAATTAATATTTTTGTAAGATATTTAATTATCTTAAATAGTGGTACGTCATAACAGACTTCGCTGTGCATATCGATTTATTTTATTACGTATCGATTTTCAGGTTTTTTGATATAATAGAAAATTGCTTCTTTAATAAAAATGGAACTCGGAAATTTTCATATCTTGTGATTAGTCATCTACAAATTACTTTGTCAAAAATCACGCTGATTCTACACATAATTACTCTGAGGTAAACATTAAAAGGATGCTGGAGTTCTATTGACAAGATCTATCTACTCTTTCGAGACCAGGCCCCGGGGCCATAAAACATAGACAAGCTCACTTTTGATCTCAGTCTCACTTTTACCAAAGGAATTAATAGTAGAAAAGTGAGACTGAATCAAAAGTGAGTCCGTCTAAGTTTTATTGCCCCGGGGGCCAGGCTCCGGGGCCATAAAACTTAGACGAGCTCACTTTTGATCTCAGTCTCACTTTTACTAAGGGAATGTATAAGGGAAAAGTGAGACTGAGATCAAAAGTGAGATCATCTTAGTTTTATGGCACCGGAGCCGGGTCTTCCAACAATCTGCTGGAATTCCAATGGGCATTAATAGTGCTCCTCTATAAGTCGACCTTTGAAGCAGAATTTAGGAAAACCTCCTACATGAGAAATGCTGTGGCCTTCAACTCGTCATTCAGATATATCGATGACGTTTTATCAATTAATAATAGTTACTTCCATTCATATGGCGACTCGATATATCCCAGTGAACTCGAAATAAAAGATACCACAGAGTCTGCCACAACTGTTTCATATTTGGATGTTTCCCTGACTATAGACGGTAAGAGGCAACTAACAACTAAACTGTATAACAAACGAGATGACGTCAGCTTTTCATCGCCAACTTTCCTCATTCAATGGTAGTAATATTCCATTATCACCTGCATGTGATGTTTATTCGAAACTCAAGAACACGCTCTGAATACGTTCAATTTTTAAACCGAGGCAGGCTACTGTCATTTAAATTGACGTTACAGGGATTTCAACAACCTCTTTTAAAGTCAGTATTTTGTCAATTCTATTGACATTATAATAACCTTGTTAGCAAATACAACCTATCATTGGGTTGTATTTTGACTTACACATTTCATACCAATTTTTTGCCTTTGTTTTATACTAAATTTGACTACGGATTATTCCGTATACCTGATCAATACATAGGGCTCACGGGGTGTGTGACCGGTCAACAGGGGATGCTTACTTCTCCTAGGCACCCGATTTCACCTCGTTTTATGCCTGAACATATTTGTATTGTTTGTAGTTTTTTTTTAAAGATCGATCACTGTTTGTTATTTAACTTATTTCATCAGCATAATGTGCTGAATGCAGTCAAACGATGTACTAAGTTGTAAGCATTTCCTTACTCTTTGGACCCTTTACTCCAAAATTGAAATACAACTATCATTCTAACCATGCATATGCGATTTTTTATCAAGGTCTTTTGAAAGGTATTACTAAGCTGTATATTAGTATCCTTATATAAAACTATTCAAATATAAAAAGAAAGAGGAATATCGACTTCAATCGAAAATTAATTTTCATATCCTTTTATCTACCGAGACCTGTATATTCCAGTAAACATACAAAGGAAAATGAAGGGAAATAATGTGTTATAGACTTTTGAACACATTTTATAATGACTATTAAACTTTGCTTTGAAGTTTATATGCCATTAATTTCAATTATCCTTTTACATATTTTTACTGAAACATTAACAAAACCTAACATCTGTTTAATTTTAATTGAAATGTATTGCATTATTAGTTTTGTTTGTCAGGTGCTTGTGTTGCTTGTAATTCGGTTTTGGACACTCTTTCATTATTACTGGAAGTCACTCACTTGATAGGATAGCTGTCAACTCGAATATATCTTTTGCATGTCAAAAATACAGAAACACCCTAACCACCTGCTAAGCCTTATACATTCAGCATTGTTTCAGCCGGAAGACAAGAAAAATCAAAACGAAAAATAAGTCTGGTAACAAAACAAAAAGAACCCTCCCGCAAGCGTACCAATTTTGTTGATTAATCTGGCAGAAAAGAGTCGTTATGAGGAGGCATTACTGTCCCTTCGACATTATTTTTGCTCCAGGTAAAAGACAAATTAAACAGTATCCAGTGTCAAACCGGCTGCCCAGTGCCCCTTCCAATGGCAGAATAGAAAGGATTACCAAAGCAATATGAAAGAAATACTGCAAATATCTATAATGTACTAAAAAGTGATTTGTTTTCTAATCATCTTAACTATCTAATATAAAATTCGTTTCATCTCAGTCTAGTGTCATATTGAATATTTTATATCACACTAAAATACATAACACTTCCATTTATTTCAAAATTAATAGAACATAGAACACAGCAGTAATTCGTACGATGCACATGGATTAACTGAAACCAAGTGTGAACAAAAGAAGCGAAAGATGTTGCAGGATCCAACCTTGGATGAAGAACGTTATGACACTCCTTAGTAATACAGAATTAACAGTCTGTATTAAATCAGGTACCTATAGCAATAAATTTATAGAGGATACACTCAAAAACCCATCGATTTACGTAATTACTAATGATATATCAGGCTGTCGCGGAATACGGACACAGTTAATTATAAGTTGCCATCAGCTACCGCCTTTATACATCTAACTTGTGATATCTAATAAGATTTTTCAACCTGATAAAGACAGCTTTTTTATTCTGCCTCTTTTTGCAACATATATAAGCTATTCTTCCCGGCATAAATATTGATAAACAAAATAGTTTACTGTTTTCAAAGGACCAAGGGCGCCGAGACAGATTTTTCAAGTGAATGAAATGACGTCACACCGGTAACACCTGAATCTGTAAAATCAATGAAGAAATTCAAGTTACACCAAAACTTCCTGTACTCAAATTATTCTTAAAGGGATTCCCTGGGGGAATTACGTATTAGTA